AGCCATAAATGACCTCCCAAAGGGCCCTTAGAATGAGATGGCTTTATAAGTAAATTCTATAAAATATTCAATGAATAATTAATTCCAGTATTACATATGGTATTTGAAAAAATGAGAGTTCAACAAAATTTCTTTTATGATGTAAACGTGGGCTTGTTAACCTAAACCAAAAAAAGTAAAAACACAAAGAAAAGTAGATCAGTATCCCTAATGAACACTGCTGCAAAAAAGGCGGGAAGGAAGGGAAAAGACCATATGTACAAAAAGAATTTACAGCAGCTCTCTTTGTGGTGGCAGAAAAAACAAACTGGAAACTAAGGGAGTGTCGATGATTTGGAGAATGGCTAAACAAATTATGCTATGTGAAGGTGTTGTTCAGTCATTCTTCTGTCATATTCGAATCACTGTGACCCAATTTAGGGTTTTCTTAGCAAAGAAACTAGAGTGGTTTTCCATTGCCTTCTCCAGCTCATTTTACACATGAGGAAACGGAGGCAAAAGGGTTAAGTGACTTGCCTAGGGTCACTAGTAAGTGTCTGAGGCCGGATTTGACCTCAGGTCTTCTTGACTCCAGGCCTGGTGCTCTAGCCACTGCACCACCCAGCTGCCCTATATGAACATAATGGAATATTACTGTGTAATAAGAGATGACAAAGGGGATAGATTCAGAGAAATCTGGGAATATGTGTAAGAACTTACGCAGAGTGAAGTGAGCAAAACCCGTAGAACCATTTATACAGTAGTAACAACTTTATAAAGACAAACAAATTTGAAAGACTTAAGAAATCTGATCATCACAGTGAATGATGATACCAGAGGGCCTGTGATGAAACATTCTACCCAAAGTGCATATTGAGATCATGTTTTTTGGACATGGCCAATGTAGGATTTTGTTTTGCTCGATTATACATATTTGTGGCAAGAATTTTGCTTTTTTCCAAATAGGGTGGGGGAGGGGTAAAGTGGGAAAGAAAGAAAATCGTTTTTTTTTAACTGAAAAAGAAGTAAACTTTATTTTTAAAAAAGGGGGGAAGCAATTGATAAATGGTCAAAGGATATGAATGGGCAGTTCTCAGATGAAGAAATTAAAGCCATCTACAGTCATATGAAAAAATGCTCTAAATCACTGTTGATTAGAGAAATACAAATCAAAACAACTCTGAGGTACCACATCACACCTATCAGAATGGCTAACATGACAAAACAGGAAAATGATGTGGGAAAATTGAAACACTTAATGCATTGTTGGTGGAGTTGTGAACTGATCCAACCATTTTGGAGAGCAATTTGGAACTATGCTCAAAGGGCTATAAAAATGTGCATACCCTTTGACCCAGCAATAGCACTTCTAGGGCTGTATCCCAAAGAGATCATAAAAATGGGAAAAGGATCCACATGTAAAAAATACGTATAGCAGCTCTTTTTGTGGTGGCAAAAAATTGGAAATTGAGGGGATGTTCATCCATTGGGGAATGGCTGAACAAGTTGTGGTATATGAATGCAATGAAATACTATTGTGCTATAAGAAATGATGAGCAGCCAGACTTCAGAAAGACTTGTATGGACTGATGCTGAGGGAAGTGAGCAGAACCAGGAGAACGTTGTACACAGTAACAGCCTTGCTGTGCAATGACTAACGTTGATAGACTTAGCCCTTCTCAGCAATGCAAGGATCTAAGACATCTCCAAAGGTCTCATGGTGGAAAATGCTATCCACATCCAGAGAAGGAACTATGGAGTTTGAATGCAGATCGAAGCAGACTATTTGCTATTTCTTTCTTCTGTTGTGTTTTGTTTCCCTCTTTCTGGTGGTTCCTCCTATTTATTCTAATTCTTACTTACAACATCACTAATGTGAAAATATGTTTAATAGGAATGTATATGTATAGCATATATTAGATTGTGTGCCATCTTGGGGAGGGAGGGGGAGAAAAATTTAGAACTCAAAAGCTTATGGAAGTGATTGTTGATAAATCAAAATAAATTAATAAAATCATTAAAAAATTTAAGAAGGGGGAGGGGAAGCAGTGGGGAAGATGGATTGATTAGAGGAGAGACTCAAAGGAAGATGACCAGTTAGGAAACTATCTCTGTAGTCTCCACCAAAAGAAATGAGGACCTGAAGGAGGGTGGTTGGTTGTATTGGCACTGGAGGGAAGGATGGGAGAGATCTTTCCAAGTTTGAGGGCTTGGGAGCATAATGGATAGGGGGAGGGGCTTATCAGGAATGGGGAAGAGTTCTGGGGTTAGAAACTTGTGTGACTGTGAAGATGGTGGGGGTGCCATGAACAGAAATCAAGGCCTTATGGGAAAGCACAGGTTTGGAGGGAGGGGGAAGGATATTGATTATTAGAGATGTTGACTTTGTGGTGCTGGCAGGACATCCAAGAGGCAGTAAGAAATCCTGGACTGGAGCTGGGGGGAGAAGGCATAGATGAATATGCGGACTTCAGTGTAATCACTTACACAGAAAATACAATTAGCAGATTAGTTGTTCCCCCACCCCCATCCCGGGGAGACAATGCAAGAGGACAAGAGAGGAAGGTCCAGGCCAGAACCTTGGGGAATATCGCTGTTTATAGCATGGAAGGAAGACAAGGAGCCAGCATGAGGACAGGGCATCCAAGGGGCTGGGCACCGTGGCCAATATGTGCCCCAAGAAGGACAAAGACAAAAAGATAAGCTCTGTATATACCCAAATATTCATTCTGTAGGAGAAAAAACTCGAACTGAAGTGGGTGCCCAATGGTAGGGGAATCGATCGCTGTACAAATTGTGGCATGTAAACACGAGAGAGTATTCATTACGGCCGGAGAAATGATGAAGATGAGGAATTCCAAGCAATGCAGTCCGGGCACATTAGTATGTATAAGGCTTTGTCCTTACCCCCAAGTTACTCGAGTTCTGTTGAGGAGTTCCATATAACCTGTACACATGTAAGCCATTACAAGGTAGATACAAAATCAATCCAAGCACTAACCACTGGGGTAATCAGGAGAGGGAGGGGCCTCTTGAAGGAGCAGGCATTTGAGCTAAGCCTTAAAGGGAAGGAAACGTCCTGAAAGGCAGAGGTGAGGAGAAAGGGCATTGGGGCGGGGGATGCCTTCCTCATACAGAGGAATGAAGGTGGGAGGGAGAGGGGAGAGTACAGTGAACAAGCAATCAGTTTGGCTATGATGGGGAATGCCTGGGGGAGGAGGAATATGCAGTCAGTCTGGGAAGCTGGGCTGGAGCCAGACTATGGAGGACCATTGCCCACAGGAGTCTGCAATTTATCCTCGAGGCAATGGAAACCACCAAGGTGTCTTGAGCTGGGGAAGGTCCCTGCCTCACGGCTGACTGACCCCTTCGACATTTAGGGAGGCAGAGGGCGATACTTGGGAGCCTGAACGAGGATGGCTGTGGTGTGAATGGAGGAAAGGGTTGGGGGTGGGAGGGGACATTGATGAGATTTTAAACTGATTGAATATGAGGAGTGAGTGAGAGTGAAGGAAGGGTCAAGGCTGACTTGAAGGCTTGCAGACCTGGGTGGTGACCACAACAGAAATAAGAATAAGATATAATGCTGAGGATGACTTGGAAATTGCCGAACACGAGAAGACTTGTCTGCACTGAGATCAAGTGAAGAAAGCAGAAGCCGGAGAATACGTCAATGACTATGACAATGTATATGAAAGCCAGCACCAGAGGACATTAGAACGTGAAGGAAATCCAGCTCGTGAGGATGGAACCCAGGCCATCTCAAATCAGAAATGGAGACGTCAGGTATGAAATGGCAGCACTGGCTGTGCCACAATCCTCTTTTGTCGGGGGGGGGGGTTAGGGGGGCAGGATAGAGCAGTTATTGGCACATGGCAGGAGCATAAAACACAAATCAATAAAATAATTCTGAAAAGAAAGAAAATTGATGACAAGAAGCTTCTATGAAGTCAGTAACACCTGGACAAAAGCTTTGTATTTTATCACAACAGAATTTACCAACATTTGAAAAATCATCAAATCTAGAAACCTGATTTCTTCAGTCTACAGAAGGTAGGGTTATTTTACTGATTCCTGTTGTATTTTGGTCAGATCTAAACAAAGATCAAAATGACAAGAAAAGCACCTCCTTCTCAGGCATCCCCGATTCCTCACTCCTGGGCTCTTCACCTGAGCCTACAAAGATACTCAGACCTCTCATTCAAAAAAATCAAAACCAATGTGCAAAACACCTTCCCCTGTTCCTGCCCCAGTCTCGGTACACTCACTCTTCCCTTTCACTGGCCCATTGGACAGCAAGTGCTTCCACTTCTCACCACCACTTAATTCTTTAACCACTTGTAAACAACTCAGAGAAAGGCACTAATAACCTCCCAGAATCCCAGAATCTCAGAGTGGGAATGGGCTTTAAAGGCTTTCTAGTCCAATCTGGACCAGATTAAGAATCCCCACCCCATACCTCCTTATTTCCAAATCCAATGGCCTGCTTCGGTCCTGATCTTCCTTGGCCTCTCTGTGCCCAACACCCATTCTTTTGTGATGCCCCGTATTCTGTTCAAACCCAGCCTCAGACACTTACTAGTTGTGAGACCCTGGGAAAGTCACTTACCCCTGTTTGCCTCAGCTTCCTCATCTGTAAAATGAGCTGGAGAAGGAAATGGCACACCACTCCAGTATCTCTGCCACGAAAACCTCAAAAGGGGTCACAAAGAGTCAGACACGACTGAAAAATGATTGAACAACAAAAACACACACGTATATATACACATATATATGTATATATATTTGTATGTACATATCAAGGTATTGTTACCACCATCATCGCCACCATTGTTAATAGTACAAATGCTAATAATTATTCAATTTGAGGCACACTGGATTATGGCTAGGATGGGGCGTTAATACCAGGAAAGATCTTGTCCCCTACTGCCTCATTCTTCCCCAGAACTCAGCTGGCTCCTCCCTTGTGGGTCCCCAGCCATCTGGCCTCCTGCCTCCATCTTTCCCCCTGCTCCTGCCAGGGGGACTCTCCATTCCTTTGCTCTGCCCGTCCCACAGCACTGCGCTGGGCCATTGGCCCTTGTCCCTCCTGCCTCTTGGGAAGAATTCCCAGTACCCTCGTGCCCTTCCCAGACACAGAGATAGGTGGATGTCCGTGCCTAGACTCTGGCCTCTGCCCCCTCTGGCGTGGCCATGCATGCCATGTGTTCACCTGTAGAGGGCCAGGCTGGACTCGGTGGCCGGGACCAACCTGCTCGACAGCTTCTGATAGGGTCCTCCAAAGCCCATCCTTCACAGCTGCCCACCTAGCCAGGTGGCCTGTCCACTGACCCTTTGCTCTCCATTTACCCCTGGCCACCCCTGCCCCTCACCTTCCAGTGCCACAGGAATTCACACACTTGAGGTGAGGCAGTGGACCCATTCCTGTGGAATTCTGTGGATGAGGACTCTTTTTTTCTTCACGATGCCCTTCCTGGCAAACAGGCCATCTCCTCCACGGACCTCTTCTGTGTCCTGGGCCTGGACTGAGGGGAATCTCTTCTCTGGCAGACCTAGATGATAAGTGAAAAACAAAGATGGTGGTACGCAATGGCTAGATAAAGCCAAGTGGAAGCCATCGCCCCTCTTTTCTCACAAATCAGGACAAGAGCCCCTCCTGGCTCCCCTCTTCCAGAGCTAAGAGCCCAGAAGCTCCTTCAGCCTCCTCCCCTGGATGGGCTTCTGCCCTTTGCCCCAACACTTCGCTCCTTTCAGACGTGTTCTCTGTCACTTGGCTGGGCTTGTCCTCACTGGGTTCTAGCTGCAGCCTCCTGAGCGAATAAGAAGGGCTGTGGGAACAGCCCTGAGAGCTACAAGGTCTGGCTTTCGGTACTATTTCTGACACTTCCATAGCTGGAGGACCTGGGATGAGGAGTTCCCTCCCCTCTCTCTTTTCATTAGTTTTGAATTTTAGGCCAGCACTTCAGAGATACCAATGGGGCCTCCTTTACAACCTCACTGCCGAGCCTCAGTTTCCTCATCAGTCCGACGGGGATAGTATTACTTGCCCAGCCTCCAGAGCAGGGCAGTTGGGGGGAATGTTTGGTAACTGCCTCAAATAGCACTAGAGAAACGTGTGGCTTCTCTGCAGATTTTCTAGATGCTGCTCTCTGTCCTGGTTCTCCTCCTCGGGCAGCTCCTTCTCCATCTCATTTGCCAGATTTTCCTCAAGGTCATGCCCACAGAGCGGGGAGTGTCCCCTAGGGCTCTGTCCTGGGGCCCCCATCTCTTCTCCCTCTCTCCTATCTTGCCCACGGATCTCATCAGCTCCCATGGCTTTGTTCACCATCTTCCCACACAGATGATTCCCAGATCTCCCTCTCTGGCCCTCCCCTGCCTTCTGAGCTCCTTCCTGTCTCACATTCCCAGCTGCCTTTTGGATATCTTGACCTGGGTGGCCCAGAGACATCTCAAAGGCAACAGGTCCCAAACTGAAAGCAGTATTATCTTTCCTCCTCAACTCTCCCCTTTCCCCTACTTTTGTATTACTGTTGAAGGAAGCCCCATTCTCCCAGTCACCAGAGCTCCCAACCTCAGGGTCATCCTGGCCTCCTCTCTCACACTGACCCCACATTGCCATCCTTTCTACCTTCCCGGCATCTCTCGAATATGCCTCCTTGTCATCTCGGACAGTGCCTGTACCCAGGTGGAGGCTCTCCGTTATGTCACACCTGTACTATCACAATGCCCTGCTGGGTGTCCTGGCTGCCTCCAGCCTCTCCCCAGTGCAGTCCAGCCTCCCGTCTGATAGCAAAGTGATCTGCACCAGTCTGACCAGTCATTGCCTCCCCCCGCCTGCAATAAACTCTAGTGGCTCCCTATCAGCTCCAAGACCAAGTTTAAAACCCTCTGTTTGGGGGCAGCTAGGTGGCGCAGTGGTTAGAGCGCTGGCCCTGAAGTCAGAAGGACCTGAGTTCAAATCCGGCCTCAGACCAAACACTTGACACTTACTAGCTGTGTGACCCTGACAACGGTCACTAAGCAAGTCACTTAACCCCAATTGACTAAAGAAAAAAACCCCAAAACCCTCTGTTTGGCCTTTAAAGCTCTTCACATCCTGGCCCCCTCTGACCTTGCTGGCCTTCTTATGCTTTACTCCCCTCCCCATGCTCTGTTATCTAGCATTACTGGCCTCTTCTGGTGGTTCCTCGAGCATGACACTCCACCTCCAGTCCTTTGCACTGGCTGTGCCCCATGCCTGGAATGCTGTCCTCCCTCACCTCTGGCACCTAGCTCCTCTGGCTCCCTTAAGACTTGGCTCACATCCCACCTTCTACAAGAGGCCTTTCTCATTAGCCCAGCTTCCAGTACCTTCCATAGGAGATATCCTGTCATCTTTACACTGTAGATATTTTCCGTGTCTATCGCTTTGTGCATGTTGTCTCCCCTATAAGATTGGGAGCTTCTGGAGGGGGCAGGGACCATGTTTTTGCCCTTCTTTGTTTCCCTAGTGCTTGGCACAGTGCCAGCTCATGGCAGGTGCCCGATGATGCTTGTTGACTGACTGCTGTGGATTTGTGTCTTGTCTTGGCCTTTGACGATGTTTGTCCAACCACAGAGTTCCAGGATCCGCAGCCGGGGAACGGACACCAGCATGAGAACATGGGTCTCAGAAAGTGCTTTCTGCGGCAACTTGGGTCTGTGGTCATCGTCATCATCATCCTAGTTGTCATCGTTGTTGTCACTGCCGCCATGTCGTTCAGGCCAGAGTGATCTTTCTTTGGTAAGGTGACATTGAACAATTGCTACTTATGTGGCCCCTAGGTACTCATCAGGTGATTCGGCAGAAAACTAGATATGGTCCCTCCTTTCTGGGGGCTTACAGTCTAGCTGAGGGTACACGACTGCAGGCCTGCATGAAACAGGGGAGTCAGAGGGCAAAGAAGTATGGGGCTAAGTTCCCCAAGGAGCAGGACAGACAAATGTCATGGCAGAGGAGGGTAGGAGATCCGAGTGGGCCTCAGGGGGCTGCCTAAGCCTTCTGAGGATGAGCAGGACCTGGAAGTAGAGGGAGAAGGCCTGCCTAGTCAGGGGGAACATTATTAAGAGTTAGGGTGGTCTACTGGGGGAAAGGGGAGAAGGCTGGAGCCCAGTGTCCATAGTGGAGAGTGGTGGGTAAAAAGCTTCACTCTCTGCCACTGAGCCAGAAACTATGTATGTTGTACATTAGCTATGGACAAACATGTCTGCATCTGCCCATCTGCAGACAGGCTGCCTAATCTACAAAGTAGCAGATGGTGTCTCCACCCAAGGCTACGGACAAGTTTAATTCTGCACAAAAGAACTATGGTAGTCCAACAAAAATATTTTATATGAAGTGCAGAATACTTCATTTGAAAATATATTAGCTAGTGCGTTATTAAAAAATTATGAAATTCATGAAAAATGTAATTTAGTTCAAGCAAATCAAGGCTGCATGAGAAATGTGACTGATGGTTAAATCCCTATTTTTGAACTTGGAGAGACAGAAGGGGGAATGGGGGAGGACATGGAGAAGAAGATAAGCAGAGTCTTATAGAGCTGGGGCAGAAACATAAGGAAGACAGAGCCTGAGGGTGAGACATTGAGTGGGGGGAGGGAGTCGGGAGAGGTCAGGGAAGAGGAGGACAGGGGTAAGGAATACAAGAGGACGAAGGCAGACAGAGGGCAGACACAAAGAAGGAGGGGAGACCGAGGGAGGAGGCCAAAGGGGAAGGGAGAGAAAATAGAAAGAAAAGGAAGACAGAGAGGAACAAGGAGCAGGAGAAGTACAGCAGCAAAGCTTATAGGCAGAAGGAGGCAGCTGGTGGCTCAGTGGTTAGAGCATTGGGCCTGGAGTTGGGAAGACTAGAGTTCAAATCCAGCCTCAGACATTTCCTAGCCGTGTGACCCTGGGCAAGTCACTTCACCTTTGATTGCCTGACAAAAAGGATCTACTAGAGAAGCAAATGGCAAACCATTCCAGTATCTTGGCCAGGAAAACCCCACGGGACACTTGGTCCATGGGGCAACAGAGTCAGAGATGACAATAAAAACCATAGGCAGAAATGCTTGCAGAAACGTTAGGGTCATAAAAGGGAGGGAAGGTTTGGAGTGAGGCAGTGCAGAAGGCTGAAAGCTGGAGGAGGAGGACAAGAGGGCAGGGCCTCAGAGCAGCAGAGTGAGACTGAGAGGAGAGACGGAGGGCTGGCAAGGGCACAGGGTGGGAGGAGAGAGCTACACGATAAAGAAAAGGGAGTAAGCAGAAGAAGCAGGAAAAGAGAGTGAGGAAGAGAAGCTTGGCTGGGCTGTGAGCTAAAGAGAGAAAGAGGGCATCGGGCAATGACAGCTGGGCGGCAGGAGCAGGAAGTGGGGGTGGGGTGGGCATGAGACAGAAGTAGAAGGACCTGCCAGAGATGGGAGAAGGCAGCTCTGACCTCTGGGTGTGTGACTGGATCTGAAGAGGAGAGAGGCAGTAGGTTAGAGCAGAGGGGAAGCCAGCAGGGGATGGGAAGGAGCTAGGGTGGGGAGGGGGAGGGACATGACTTGGAGAAGGGAGGGGAGCAGGACCAGGGTAGGGAGTTGGAAGAGGAGGAGCATTTCCAAATGACATATATGTCATTCCCGCCTTGGTCTGCAGCTGCACAGACGAGAACAAGGCCAGAGGAAGGACATCAGGCTATTTCGACTCCTTAGTCAAGGGTTCAACCTGGCCTGAGCTTTGGGGGTGGGGGGCGTAGGGAACTGAGGAACTACTCCATGGGCAGGAGTAGACCTGGGCAGAATAGAGTTGGCAAAGTGGTTGCCCTTGTCAGAATCAGTGCATGCCAGTGGACTGAAGTGGGGAACAATTTCTTTTAGGAGATCCTTGGCAAGAAATTCAGTTGTTGCCTGAGAGCCAGGAGAGGCCCCCACCCACCGGCTTAGCTGGTCAACGTTAACGGGACAGAGCTATAGTGGCCAGACTTAGACACACAAATGAAATCACTCCGCAAATGTTCAAAGGGCATATAAGCTAGGGGATGCCCACCGTGACAACAGCACAAAAGGCATGCTGATCATATGTCTGGCAAGTAGGGCAAGAGGCACCTGCAGGGGCAGCTGCACTGGGGACACCTCCTCATGAAATTCCCAACATAGCCCCCCTTCTGGACAGACATACCTGGTGATAGCAGCTTAGGGGGTGCGGGCTTGCCCTCCATGATCATCGAGTCCCCAGCAACCTGTCTAACTTTCAACCTGTATCTGTTTCTCAGTTTCAGATTCATCATA